TATATATATATATATATATATATATATATATATGATTTAGTCATCTTTTTTATTAGTAAATGCAATGGGTAAGTGATTTTCCATTTCTTGGAAATAAATTATATTTTAATCTTTCGTTTTACATTGTTTAGTGTGAGGATAAAGATATGATAAACAAGGTCCATGCCATGAAACATACCTTTCTTGAACTTCATTTACTTCCCCTAATGGTGGAAATATTGCATCACAAATTGGTAAAAACAAGATGTGTTGTAAGAACATCACAAATCAAAGGCTAAAGATATCTTATGATAGAAATGCTCTGATATCCAACATGTATTCCCAACCTTATTTGAGGACCTATTATTATGCGATGTGGTGGTGCAGTAAGAACATATATTGCACATCCAAAAATTATAAGATGGAAAATATTTTACTTTTGATTAAGCATATAAAAAAACAAAGTTATAAGCATATTAGGTAGTAGATTTCAATTATTTCAAGACATTATTTGCATTGTGTTTTAAGTGAAGTTGTATATTAGGAATAAATTGGCTTCAGAGTTCACAGGAAAAAAACAAAAGACATGTAAAGAGATGTAACAACCATATGATCATAATGTCTTGGAAAAAAGTATGCCAGCAAAACAAATATTCTAGTCTCGTAGTACATGTATCTATGTTTCCGAAAATATAAAGAACGTCCAAAATGGATTCCGTATGCAAAAGATACGCCCGCTTTAAGAATCCAAAAACCAATATAATATTGATTTTCTTAAAACTGCTAAAACTGTTTCTATCCATTAAGGGACTTGCAGACCTCATATGGGAGTTCCGAAAGCATTTTTGGACTCAGACTGTAGTCTAATATTTAATTTCATTTTTGAAATATTTTTAGTAAAAATATTTATAAAAGTCGAAAAATCAGACGTTTTTGGATTAATTAAACGTGAATCGTTAAACGCGATTCCTGGATTTTTACAACTCGAAAAATTAACCCGGCTAAGTTTTTGAAACCCTTGTAGCGGAGACTACCACTTGCCATTTTTAGAAAAATGATTGATATCAAGATCGATGGCATAAAAATCATGAAAATTAGAAAATATTTATAAAAGTACGAAAGAATTAGTTCTTAAATAATTTGAAAACATGTACATATGTTTGTATACATAAGCTATTTATGAATTCCAAAGAATCATAACAATCATATATAATAAATCTTTGAGTCATAGTTATTTATAAACACGCACATTTTTAAAACAAAGTTATATAAATCAAAAACATTAATGAATACATAGGTATATCAAATATATAAATTATGACTTTTAAGGTTATTAATACATATACACATGTTTGAAATGAATAAATATGTATCAAAATACAAGAATGGTCAACTCTACTCTATACTTTACAACCCATACATGGGCATCAAAACAATACACAAATACATGAATAGTTGAAGCAATACATCAATACACATACAAAATACATACTTATTAAATCAATGGATTGCTCACAAGGTACACCAACTACACACTCAAATACAAAATCAAATACAAAGTACACCAAATATATATACAAAATTATGAGCAAAAGAAAACAAATTAAAAGCTATGTTTTTTTTTCACATTTCAAGTTACCCAAAGCTACACACATACCTAAAGCTACACACAAAGGAAATGTGTTTCCTTTCTCAATTGAGGCTCTCAAATGAATCAAACACTATAAACACCTCCTGCCTCCTTCGATATTTCAACCAAGAACAAAACACCACAAAAATCTTATTGCTTCTCTTCTTCTTCCTATTGATTGCAAGCAGCAAGGCAGTCTCATCACCATCGTTCTTCTTCATTCTTTCCTATCAAAAATCAAGCCCAAACACCCACTTAGGTTCCATTGATTTCTGTCAAACACACAACAAAAAAAAGAGGAAAACCTTTGATTATCGAACAATAGCAAGCCAAACACCCTTCGATCACTGCTGTTGCTGCACCACTCCACTGCCGGCAACGAGAAGAGGAAACAACGGACCGCAGCCGAGCCGACCGCAACCAAGCGAACTGCAGCCTCCGAACCGCGGTCTTCCTTCCCTTCGGATCCACTTCAGTGACCAAGCCTGACTTCGGATTTCCCCCTTTTTCACCCGGTT